GGTACTTCATATGAATTCAATTGGATTACTGAATTTACATAAAGTGTTTTGACAAAGTTTTTGATTATTTTTTGGACCTTTCTTAGGACCTTTGCTATCTATAGAGGATGAGGGAGCGTTCTCATTGCGTCTAATGTTTCTTAATGTGCCTTCCAAAGATGAACAAAAGCCTCAGGGAGTTGAAACGGCAAGAGAGTGAATAATTAATAACAGATTTTTTTTTTTTTTTGGGTGAACTAACCCTTTATTTGAATACTGACACACTCAGTTTCTGTTTAGAAAAAAAAGCTTAGTCAGCTGAAAATCCTGTAGACTTTATGAGGGGTCATTGAATATCATCCAAGGCATGTCCAAACGTTTTAAAACATACCACTGCAGTGAAGCAAATACAAAGCCTGAAGAGTAAATAAAAACCGATGACTTTATGAATAGGTAATCTGACTCTCTTTAATTTCAGATTTCCTAGAATGCGTAAAGAAGCCTGCCAGAGACTAAACGCTTGAGGTGACAGTAGGACAAACGTCTGAAAATAATTTTCTCATACATATGGCAGGGTTGCTTTATTTATAGTTTTTTTCTTTCTTCCAAATCCCAAAAGGATTTCACATTGCTTCAATACAAAACAAATATGCAGCATGCTTTGTGCTGACCCAAGGATACATCGTAACAGTCATTCAGTGATCAAACGCGTGCCAGCTCTGCAAAACATTTACAACTGCTTGTGGAGAATTACGTACCGATGATTCTGCCAGTTGTAATTAACAAAAGAATGCAGAGTTACGCCATACATGTGCTTGCACTTTTGTTATAGGAAATATTAAACAGCAATATAGTAACATAGTACACCTACTGTACTCTCCTACACTCATTAAGTTATGCCCCCTGGAGATAGATTGCTCATATATTGGAGAAACCAATAAAAATAAGAGATCCGCTTGAGCTTCCTTGTAACATTATACATGAAAGGATCCAGATATGGATCCAGCGTGTCTAATATTTCAAGCTGAACCAAATGTGGAACTGGCACCGGGGTGGAAAGAGGCACAGAGCTGCCATTCAAACATCTAACAAAGACATTTAGTCGGGCTGCTTGAGCGGGCACAGCCTGTGAAAATATTTCCGTAATTAAAAGCCCATTTGATGGAAAACAAGAAACTGTAGCAACTGTGTGAAAAGCAGCTATTATGTGTGCTAACAAACCATAAGGCTGAAGATTTAATGGGAGCATTAGCTGTTCTAGGAGCTATCAGAAAGCACAGTGCTTTGGCCTGCAATGGTGGTAAGTGGAGGAGAGGGATTTAAGTCTTGTGTTTGTTTAGGAAATCAAGTCCAGCTCTTTACATGCCCCGTCAGATTGCTTCATGCCTCTGAGACTTCTACGAATGTTCCTCGGCTTGTGCTCATGACGTCTTGGGCAAAGAATACAGCATTATATCATATGGGAGCAGCTGCGTTTCTCGCTAACGCACAACAGGGAAACGTTCCAATTTATGTGCTTTTATCTCTACTGCTTTTCTGGCTTATCATCAAGAACTTCTCTCTCGAGAGAGAGGTGAACAAACGCTCTAGACAAACATTACTATCAGCTTGTTTGCCAACCAGTACAACAAGTAAACATGCCTAAAGCAGTAGTGATTGAAGGAGTTTTTTAAAAAGTTGGAGGCCCTGAGAGTGGACCAAAATGTGCAGAATGTGCTCAAATTATTATAACACTGTTAAGCCCAATAAGTTAAGGTAACTCAAACCATTTGAGGAAACCGATTGCAACAAACCATTTAGGTTTAAAAAGTAATCCTAATAAACACTGTGAACTTGATCCATTTGAGTAAACGAAGCAATTTGAGCACAATAAAACCCAATAAATAAAGAACTCAAACCAACTGAATACTGTAAAACCCTATAAGTTAAGGCAACTCAAACCATTTGAGGAAACCAATTGCTACAAACCATTTGAGTAAAAAAAAAACTAATCTATTAACTTACTACATTTAAGTTGTTGTAATGAGGCATTTAATTAACTCATTACCTTCAACACTGAGTTCAAAACTCTTTTCAAATGAGTAGAATTAACTTTCAGTAAATGTTAACTACACTCATTTTATTTGATAAAGTTGACTGTTGACAGTGCACTAGAAATTCATCAAAGGAAAAGAACATCTTATCTGTATCTCCATTTTGGGTTTGTTTGTTTAATGTAGCTGTCAGGGTCAAGTTTGAGGCTCTCATGACTATAAGCAAATCTACATACATTCAAAAATCATATTTTCATTAAAAGAAAATAAATAAATGACACATTTTTTCGTTGCTTGTTGTTGTCAAACTGGGTTCTTCCACTTGCACATCAGCTCCGTACCAACATTTACAGTGTTAAAGCAATTACGCCTTGAGATTTTCCACATTATTCTGTTCTCTTGAGCATTTCGTGGACAACCACCCTTTTTTCTGGCCTTGCATGTGTTTGTGACATTAAAATAATAACATTGCATCTTTGCTTGCTAATTTTGATGTGTTTTTTTTTTTTTTTTCATTCTGAATGATTTTGGGATATTGAGCTTCAAAGTTGTTGCATTCTATAGCAAACAGTATGTGTGTAACATTTGTTTTTCAAATAAAGTCTTAAAATGTTAACACATAATAAAAAAACATCCCATAAATAAGTTGTCATTTAATAAGAATATGTCAATAACTCAATTTTGACAAAAATGTCAGATAGAACCTTATAGTAAAAGGAGTCAAATTTACAGAGCATTTGGTCTCTCTTTAAATAAGGTCAAACAGGTTGGTAATGGCTAAAGCTGCTATTTGTGGAGATTTTGAGAGATTTAATGTATTATATTTCCGCTGATTGACCAAATACTATCTAAACTAAGTAAATTTCACTCAGAGGATTTTGCTGTGTAGGAAATTGTAGAAATTGTCATTGAAGAAATGGAGTCTAAAGAATTAAATAGTACAGAATAGAGATACAACATTGAGTATGTTTACATGAACAGCAATAATCAGATTTTAATACAATTAAGACAATACTCAGATTTAGAGTTTAACATGTAAACAGTGATTTTTGATTAACTTAATCTGATTAAGGTCATAATTTAACTTAACAGAAATCGGATTAAGACATGTAGAGTATGCAGATTTTAGTCGCATTATTGAAGTGCAGTACACACATGTAAACACCTTAATCAAACTATTTTCGTTACGTAGGAAACTTTACTTGGCATTAAAAATGTTTTTGTCAACACCATCATCATTTTAGTAGACTGAAGACCAAAATGTATAGAAAAAGATGTGTTTTTAAAGGTGTGTGGATGAGGCGTATATTACTTGCGTTCCCTTTTAGTTTAGTCACCTAGTTAGCTTTTTTTTAGTCACACTGATGTCTCATATTTGTCTTCTGTCTGTTTTGTTCTGTTTAGTTTTATAATCTTGGTATATATGTTGTTATGCTCCTGAGATTCTCATGCATGTTCTGTTAGCTTAAGAAATACTTGATGTTTACATATTTGCATCAAGCGTCACCCCATGGTGTTAACATGTGACAAGAGCTATTGTTTCGATACAAGTAGAGTCATATTACAGTTGACGAAACCAAACAAATCCAACCTGGTTTTGATCAAGTTCAGCAGTTTCATGAGATTTAATATAATTATTCAATGTCAGCTCAGGGTTTAATCCAGACTATACAGGTAATTCTGGAGCATGTGCAACTGACAGTGTGACACATGCAGCAAACAGCACAATCCAAAAAAACATTGATATTTCAGTTAGATTCACTTCTCACGAGACATTCACTGGTCATTACAAAATAAATTGAAATGCATTTAAAGCACTCCTGTTGCAGTAAAAGTTTATGTAGGCACGATGAAAGAAATTTGTATTTGTTATCAATTCGTTTGAATCCATTGAGTTTTATATTTTATACTATATTTTGTTCTGGTAACACTTTATTAGGCGACGCAGTGGCGCAGTAGGTAGTGCTGTTGCCTCACAGCTGGTTCGAGCTTCGGCTGGGTCAGTTGGTGTTTCTGTGTGGAGTTTGCATGTTCTTCTTCTATTCGTGTGGGTTTTCTGTGGGGGAAACCCACGCCAACACAGAGAGAACATGCAAACTCCACACAGAAATGTTAGCTGACCCAGCCGGGGCTCAAACTAACAACCTTCTTGCTGTGAGGCGATCGTGCTAGCCACTGTGAACCAAGATTTATTTTTTTTTTTTTTATAGTTAATATTTTTATTTGTTCATTTTACTGTGTAAATATCATGAACACGATCTGGGATTAAATGTTTGGAGAAGTCTGATGTTTTTACTTAGAATAGATTTAAGTAGTATCTGAAATTAAAAATGTAAATCATTTTAATTAATTTTTCATATAAAGCTGGCTTTAAGAAAAATTAAGGAGAAAAAGGATCCAGGAAAATTTAGGAAAAGGGGTCACTTGCTAATGGAAAGCAGAGAGGTTACTACTCCAATTTTCCATTTTATAAACCGTCTTTGTTTATCATTTATTTACACAGAGGAAAGCTTCAGAGGTGATGACAGCTTTTAAAAGCCAAACAAAGACTATGATGTAAATCTCAAAAGGGTTTTTAAAAGCTCTACAAGTTGAATAGTTTACACTGTGTTGTCTTTCCTCTTTTTGTGAAATGAATATAGGAACATGCTACAAACCAGAGTGGGATATATTGTGAAATGTGTGTGGGTAACCTTGCTGTACTGAGGTGAATGACTGAAGATCAAAGTCTCAGATCTCACTGTCTGTAGAGAGACTTTGGTAGGGAACTCTAATTTTAGGGAGTTGTTGCTTCGCTCAAGACGTGCCATTTCAAATAAGTCCCATGTGAGGCTGCGACAACACACTGATGGATGTGCTTGCTCAGATCACAGAACATCAAGTTCCTTTAATCATTTGAGAATGTTTAGTATGGTTGATAATTATAATTGGTGGAGTGTGATGATAAAGCATATGTCTGATAGTTCTTGTACACTTGTCTCCCTGCAGATCTTTGTGTTGTGTCATGGCCTGCTCCAGCTCACTCAGCTCTTGTATAGCTCTTACTTCAAGAGCACAATCACCACAATCGAGAGACGCTACGGTCTGGACAGCCTCTCCTCAGGAACTATCTCTTCCCTTCATGAGGTACTGATCTGTCCAAAGCGTTGACAGTAATGACCTGGATATGTAGCAGTCTTCAAAATAGGGAAGCAAAAACTGGCTGATGCAGATAAACATATCATTATTGACATGTTTCATGGTGGATAAGACATAATTTATTCAACAACATTATTTCAATGCAAGTTATCAATATTTGTATACACAAAAATGAAAATTCAATGACAATTTATTACATCATTAAAACTGTATTTCAGTTACTTATTGAATACCTTTCTGAAAAGTAATTTAACATCCATCGCTCCTGACTCGGTGACCTTAAATCCGAGAGTGTGACTTTTTTTGTCCAGAAAAGTTATTTAATAAAATTTGTATATGTTGTTTTTCTGTCACGCGTTATTTTAGGGTACAATCCTCACTATTAAGAAAATATTAACTATGACTTATGCCTCAGTTAACTCCTAATTTGCTGCTTATTCATAATTATTAAGATATGATTTTTGGAATTTAGAGTAAGATCAAGCTCAATATGTACAGTTAGGTCCATAAATATTTGGACATTTACACAATTTTAACACCAAAACAATGGACTTGAATCAGGTGAACGGCGTAGGAATTACAAGAGTTTGCATATGTGCCTCCCACTTGTTAAGGGTCCAAAATCATTGGACAATTTGCTTCTAAGCTGTTCCATGGCCAGATGTGTGTTATTCCCTCATTATCCCAATTGCAATGAGCAGATAAAAGGTCCACAGTTCACTTCAAGTGTGCTATTTGCATTTGGAATCTGTTATTGTCAACTCTCAAGATGGCATCCAAAGAGCTGTCACTATCAGTCAAGCAAGCCATCATTAGGCTGAAAAAACAAAATAATCTTATCAGAGAGATAGCAAAAACATTAGGCATAGCCAAAACAACTGTTTGGAACATTCTTAAAAAGGAGGAACGCACCAGTGAGCTCACCAACACCAAAAGACCCGGAAGACCACGGAAACAAATGTGGTGGACGACAAAATAATTATTTCCCTGGTGAAGAAAACACCCTTCACAACAGTTGGCCAGATCAACACTCTCCAGGAGGTAGGTGTATGTGTGTCAGAATCAATAATCAAGAGATGACCTCCAGAGTAAACACAGAGGGTTCACCACAAGATGTAAACCATTGGTAAGCCTCAAAAACAGGAAGACCAGATTACAGTTCTTAAAAAACCTTCACAGTGCTGGAACAACATCCTATGGACAGATTAAATCAAGATCAATTTGTACCAGAGTGATGAGAAGAGAAGAGTATGGAGAAGGAAAGGAACTGTTATGAGCATAAGCAGTGAAGCATGGTGCTGAAAGTGGCATGGCATGGCCATGTATTACTGTCAATGGAACTGGTTCTCTTGTGTTTATTGATGATGTGACTGTTGACATAGTGTTTCAGGCAATATTTTCTGTTCATATTAAGCCAAATACTTCAGAACCCATTGGGCATTGCTTCAGAGTGCAGATAGAGAATGTCCCAAAGCATACAGCAAAAGCAACTATAGAGTTTTTGAAGAGAAAGAAGTGGAAATGTATGCAATGGCCAAGTCAATCACCTGAACTGAATCTGATTTAGATTGCATTTCACTTGTTGAAGACAAAACTGAAGGTAAAATGCCTCCAAGAACAACCAGGAACTGAAGACAGTTGCTGAGGAGGCCTGGCAGAGCCCCACCAGAAATTAAACCCAGCGTCTAGTGATGTCTATGCGTTCCAGACTTCACTCTGTAATTGACTGCAAAGGATTTGTAACTGTATTTGCAAATATAGTTTGATTTATGATTATTATTCTGTCCCATTACTTTTGGTCCCTTAACAAGTGGGAGGCACATATGCAAACTGTTGTAATTCCTACACCCTTGACCTAATTTGGATGTAAATACCCTAAAATTAAAACTCACACTCTGCAGTTAAAGCACATCTTGGTCATTTCATGTCAAATTGATTGTTTTGGTGCATAGAACCAAATTATGTTAGAATTGTGTTGACGTCCAAATATTTATGGACCCAACTGTACTTAAGTACTGATAAACAGCCCAAAAAGGGTTTTAAAACTGTCTCAAAGCCACATACTTGTAGCTTTAACGCTACAAATGTCTCATCTCACAGAAAACATTTTACATTTTTTCATGAGTGCAATAATATTTGCCCCCAATCTCCCACCTCCCATAATTTATTGATTAACCTATGGGGGTCAAATTTGCCCATAAGGAACACATTTGATACTTTTTCAATTGCACCTACTATATTATAATGTGTATTTTTGTATTGTAATTTACATGATGAACTCTGTTAAAATGATTTTTCATTAAATCAGATGCTGTTAAAGCAGAGATCAAGGTCCTGCAAATAAAATGAAATAATTCATTAATGTTTTTTTTTTTTTTTTTAGTAGTTTTAAGCTACTGTGACAGATTTCTATGAGTTTTTGCAATGGTTGTATTACAGTTTCTCACTCCATTGCATCTTAAAAAAAAAAAAAAAAAAAAAAGCAGTTCAAGAAATAATACATCCAAAATATGAAAAATAAAACTGTTTAGTGCACATTACTGCAAAATTTAAGTTATTTTAACATTTTATTTGAAATTTTCATTTTTAATTTCAAATTTTCCTTTAAAGGAAAACTTCAAGTTTAGAGTAGAGTAAACTTCCCATGAGGTTGGTTTTCCTGCATTTGCATGTGTATGTATTGAATTTAATCAAAAAGCCAAGTTTGACCACACTTTCATACAACACAGTTTGTTTCAGCAGCTTGACATGAGTAGGACACTAACAGAATCTGAATAGTGCTGTAAAACAGCTCCAATAAGATGATAAATGATGTAATTTTTTCAGCTGAAGTCAGTTCTTGGGCAGAATATTTTGCACTCATCAACCTGAAACCCTCTAAAGACTCAAATCTAAATTAAGTTGCTAATGCTTTAAATAAAAGTTATTTTGGAATCACAACTTGTGAGAAAATTCAGTTTTTTTTTTCTCAAATTATTCATTATTTACAGATTGTACAGCAAACTATTTAGTAAAATATCCACAAAATACAAATTTCTGATATCTAATATGATGCTGTTTTTTATGTGCATCAACAATTGTATCATATGTACTGTAAGCTGTTTACTTCTATATATAAACACATAAAAATAAAAAATGCTTTGGATAAATCTTTTAAAGTTGAAAACTGTGCTGTAGAATCAGGATGTTGTATGTATAAAAGTGAAATATTAATTATATAAAATGTTTATCTGCCTTTTATTCAGGTAGGGAACACAGTGCTGATAGCATTTGTTAGTTACTTGGGCAGTCGGGTGCACCGACCTCGTTTCATTGGACTGGGTGGTCTACTAATGTCCATCAGTGCCATGATATTAGCTCTACCTCACTTCCTGTCCCAGCCGTACACCTATGACTCTGTGCTGCATGGTAAGTGTCATTCCTCTGTACATTTAATCATGTGAAAACCAAATAATCTAAATACAAAGTATAAAAATTGTTTGGACATTTTACTGATTTAATGAGCTCTGTATTTTTTCCTATTATTTTTTATTATTTTAGTTTGTTTTTGTGTTGTTTCTTGCCCCAGAAAAATGGATCTTAGACTGTGAGCTCATCAAAAAGATGACTATCCTCAAATTCATTTAAAAAGACACTTTGAGGAAAGCCAGACACAACATAGAGGGGATCTAAAACAACACAGCTGGATGATAAACATCAACTTAGATTGAACAGAGTAGGCAAGTCTACAGGAAGAGACTCCATTTTGACTCTAGACTGACTTTAGCATTAGTTTGTGGGGGAAATTAAGAATAAATAAATGGATTGAAATTAAAAGGCAGAGGATAGAAATATAATGGAAAGAGGTTAGGATAAAGGAGAGGGGAGATAAGACTGGGGGAAAAAAATCACCTGGAATTATTCCTAGAGATAACGGTTATCTCTCTACACTTCCTTAGGCTTTTTATTTTTGCTTCATTCACTCACAATGCAGATACTGTCATTTGTGCTTAGAACTTACAGTGTTATGCAAAGATTAAAGGAAATATGCAGCCACTTACGTAAGTCCATCTTATAAGGGATAGTTCTCCCAGCATGTTTTTTTTTTTTTTTTTTCAGTTACTTAAAGTCATGTCATTTCAAACCACTGAGACCATGTTAAAGTTGTTATTTGATATCTGCATTTAGAAGATTTGTGGCTTAGGTGTAAAATTCTCTAGAGTCAGATTTGCATGAATTCCCCCTCACATTTACAGGTCTGATTTGACCTTATTTGGAAGGGTTGTAAATAGTAATGAGCTTCAGCTTGGCTCATGTTTTTAATACTCAAACAAAGTGATGTGCTTTAAAATACGCAAATGCCAAACAAATACTTTTCAACAAATAGAAATTTTCCTTGAAATATACAAGTTTGATTTGACCTTATTTGGAAGGGTTGTGAATATGAATGAGCTTCCGCAGCTCATGTTTTTTTAATACTCAAACAATGCGATGTGCTCTGAAACACATACATGCAAAAGAAATACTTTTCAACAAATAGGAATTGTGCCTAAAATTGACAGGTTTGATTTGACCTTATTTGAAAGGGTTGTCAATAATAATGAGTTTCTCTAGCTCATGTTTTTAATACTCAAACGTGATGTGCTCTGAAATACGCACATGCAAAATAATTACTTTTTAACAAATGCTTTCAACAAATAGGAATTGTCCCCGAAATTTACAGGTTTGATTTGACCTTATTTGGAAGGGTTGTGAATATTAATGAGCAACTGCAGCTCATGTTTTTTGATACTCAAACAATGCAATGTGCTCTGAAATACGTACATGCAAAACAAATGTTTTTAAACAAATATTTTCAATAAATAGAAATTGTCCCTGAAATTTACTGTTCTGATTTAACCTTATTTGGAAAGTTTGTGAATATTAATGAGCTTCCGCAACCCATGATATTTTAATACTCAAACAATGCGATATGCTCTGAAATACGTACATGCAAAACAAATGTTTTTTCAACAAATATTTTCAATAAATAGAAATTGTCCCTGAAATTTACTGTTCTGATTTAACCTTATTTGGAAAGTTTGTGAATATTAATGAGCTTCCGCAACTCATGATATTTTAATACTCAAACAATGCGATATGCTCTGAAATACGTACATGCAAAACAAATGTTTTTTCAACAAATATTTTCAACAAATAGTTGAATTCACAGAATTCACAGGTCAGATTTGACCTTATTTGGAAAGGTTGTTCATACTAATAAGTTTTTCTAGCTCATGTTTTTAATACTCAAACTACATCATATGCTCTGAAAAACGCACATGCAAAACAAATACATTTAATCAAATATTTTAAATTGAGTAGATATCTTGTCAAATGACAATCATTTCAACTGAAGTGGTGGAGAAAGTCACGCTATATGAAAGTCGCGACAAGTAAACAGGCAAGAATTAATTCTGTCAGTTATGACAGTTCTGTTCAGTCAGAATGCTTGTCTGATATCATTTGAGCTGATATGAGTTGAGTTGAGTTGAGATATACTTTCTTTTCCTATTCAGGAAATTTGTCTTGGACTCAGTACAGGTCTATAACAACAACAAAAAAAAAGACAACAGCTATCTACCAACAACTATGACTAATATAAGATTATTGTAACATTTAAAAGATAATTTACCATTTAAAATACTAATGATACAGATATTAAATGTACTCAAGTAAAAGTACACATACTTTAAAACTCCTGAAAATAACTACTCATTTACAGTAATTTCAGTTTACTTTACACCACTAGTCAGATGACTTCTTAATTCAAAAGATCCTTATTAGGCAGTTTTTGTTTTGCATACTTCATTTTCCCAGTTTGTGACCATCAGTGATTCATCTTATGCATCTATTGTGTCTTTTAATCACCTATTGTCTTCTTGCGCACACTACAATTTACGAAAGAATAATATATAAAATAATTTAAGGTTGTGTTTCTTCTGTGTTGAAAGTATGCCTATTAAATCTACAGGCAGTTCTACCAATGATTCTACAGATACTTGTGGTATTCACACCCACTTAAACACATGGACCAAATACAGAAAATCAATTATGTTTCTAAGTCACAAGTGTGGACATTGGTAAGACTTTTTTAGTGTCAAGCTCATCCAAATACACTCCAACATCCAACATATGCAAACCATCACAAAACACAGATAGCTAGAGTTTTCTTCATTCAAGTAAACATTTATATACGTAACTAAGCACAAATATTTAGAGGGCTGGTGTGCACTGATAGTGGTTGAGAAGAATGTGACGTATGTGTGTGTGTTTCAATTCAACAGCAAGCAGACAGGACATGTGTTATTTGCGTGCGAATGTGACGGGTGCGGAGGCTTGTGGTCAGGAGGATTCGCGGAAGCTCATGGACACCAGTAAATTTTGGGTGCTAATGGCCACGGCCCAGCTGCTGTTCGGAATCGGATCTGTCCCCATTCAACCTTTTGGCATTTCTTATGTAGATGACTTTGCAGGGGCTGGGAATTCCCCTCTATATATTGGTAGTTATTGAATATTACAGCATTCATTCTAAAATGTAAAGAGTGACAAGATTGATAATGATGATTTCTGTTGTACGTTGCAGCGATTCTCTTTGCTGTGTCAGTGTTTGGGCCATCCTTTGGATATCTCCTGGGGTCTGTGGTTTTGCGGATTTATGTGGATGTGGACAAATCCAGTGCAGGTTTGCCTACTATTTAAATGACAAGAAGAATGATGAATTTTCTTTATGTTACTGGTAAGCCGTACAACTGCAGTATTACATGTTATGCAGTTTGTTTCCTCTAGGGGAAGCACTGGAGTTGACCCCTGTTGACCCTCGTTGGGTGGGTGCATGGTGGATTGGTCTGCTCATCACCTCTGGAGGTCTTGCTCTCACCTCAATCCCTTACTTCTTCTTCCCTAGATCCCTTCATGTTGAGCAGGTTAGTCAAGTTTTCTGGGTTAATAACAAATGAGCTTTCAAATGATTCTGTTTCCTAAGATTTATTTATTTTTTTAATCAGTGTCAACATTCTGTTCTTAATGCAAATTGTAGATATAATGGCAATCTGTTTTCAGTAAAATGCAACTTAATACATACTATAAATCAAAATATATAGTAAACTTAATTCAAACAGACATATACACAATCTCTCCAAAAAAAAGAAAGAAAGAAAGAAAGACAGAAAGAAAGAAAGAAAGATAAAAGTTCCCAATGGGTTATATACATGGCTAAATAAGGACAAAAAACAAGTGAACACAATCATTTATACAATGAGGCTGGATTTACACTGGTGTATTTTTGTTTTTAAACAGCTTTTTAGAATGAAAACACTACTTATCCAGACTATTGCTTTCATTGCATTTCAGTTAAATGGCCTTTGTCCACATTATACAGCCTAAAGGCTGATTCATACGTCAAGCGCACACATATGCTCCGGCGCAGCCTTTGCGCAGCTGCACAGCTCTCGCTGTGGCTGATGCCGACGCTGACACGCACCTTTAAAAAAATGTACAAACTACACGTCGCAACAACGCATAGCACAAGCTCTGTGATTGGTCAGCTTGGTAGCTGTGATGAGTGTGAGTGGTGCTGAGAGCCGCAAGTCTGATGGAACGAGTGTTTACAAGTGTTAAGTCCTGTGTAGAAGCTCTAGATGGAAACATTTGTTTTGTATTTACCTTATGATTAAAGTTGTTGCATGTCCGCCGGTTCACGCCTCTGAATAAGCGAGTTTTAGCTACTTGTACAATAAGGCAGTGTTTAGAAAAAACAAAACACCAGCAAAGAAACTCCACATAGAAGAACATAAAAACCATACCAGCTAACATTTTAAAAGCATTATTGCAGAGCAACATAAACAGCATGCAGAAGTATAAATGCACAGCTACGCACAAGGCATGCACCGTGAGTCATGTCGATTCCTTGACGCAAAAGTATAAACCAGCCTTAAACAGAATGATACATGATCTTTACGCCTAAATAGTACAGCATCCATACTTGCAGTGTTCCAGTTATGTAATGGTCATGGAGGGGTTTAACAAAACAGGAAATGGTACGCAATAGTACACAGTGTGCGCTTGACGCAGAAGTATGAATCAGCCTTTAGGCTGTATAGTCCAGATGATTAATCAGAGAGAGATTGTGGATAGCTGCGCCATCCAAAAATTTGCATTTTAGTTCATCTATACTGAAATCAAACACCAGAATTTCCAAAGTAAACAGTTTCTTTAGCATTTTCAAAAAGCTCTGTTTTAGTGGGGCGAAGATGCTAGGATAGTGTAAATGCCCGGCGTAACTGTAAAAAAACTTGCATTTTTAAAACAAAAATGTACTAGTGTAAACAGCACCGAAGTAAACACAGAAACATACTAGCATCATTAACAAAGGAAACAGAATTAAAGGTCAAAAGAAAAAACTTTACTATCACTTTGGAACTGTTTATTGCAGAAATGTCCAAACTCAGCCCTGGAGTGTTGGTGTCATGCACAGTTTAGCTCCAACTTCCTTCAACACACCTCCCTGGAAGTTTCTATTATACCTAGAAAGAGCCTGATTAGCTGGTTCAGGTGTGTTTAATTTGGGTTGGAATAGGCAGGACACCGGCCCTCCAGGATCAATTTTGGACACCCCTGGTTTAATGAATTCTTGCTAAATAAAAAGCCCCTGTCTTGTTCTCTGGAATGTAACTGCAATTTAAAACAAGTTTGCCATCTCCACCTAATGATTTTTCTTAAATCCATAAATTAGCAGTTGTGTGTATTTTGTAATTCATGTTTTTATGCTTTGGAATTGTATATTGGAACCTTGTTCTTTCCTCTAAAAACTTTTGATGAGGAAATTTTGAAGTGATTTTTATTTATATTTTAATAGTTTGAAGTGATGTTGATCTATTGTAAATTACGGTATTTTATGATAGACTTATTTCCACATTATATCTGATACAATAAATTGTTTCAAACTACTAAAAAGCCTATAAAAGTTACATTGTTAAACAGCAAAATTAAATTTTCTGCATCAAAAGTCAGCAGAGCAGAGATCAAGGTTCTATAAAGCAATTCATAACCTTTTATAAACAGAAAACGTGTAAATCACAAATTACAGAAACTGTTAACTAACAAATCCTTTTTACAGTGTACGCAAATCAGACACTGGTATATAAACCCTTATTTTTCACTTCTGCAACATTTTGCTGTTGCTCAACTGAAGAATCACTAATGGTTAGGTTAGATATTCCTCCTCAAATGTATTCTGACAGTTTTTATGAAGGAATCCTCCTGATGATTCAACTAGCTGCCCTCCTGTCACAGTCAACTTATATGTACCTCTGTATGTTTGACACTGTGGAACTCACTACATCATATTTCTAAATCTGATATACAGCAGGCAATATTTCCACATTCACAGTCAGAAGCTGAGATTGTTAACATATTTCAGAAATCTTCTCACCGCTTGGCATCTTCCTGCCTTAAAAAAAATGTAAAACAGCATAGAATAAGTGACAAAAATGTCTCATGGTTTAAAAGAAAATGTAGGCTGATGAATAATTCATCGCTGTAAAAAGACCAATTTATAGTCATCTTTTGCAGTCTTTCAATCTGGAAGGTGAGATCATGAAAGAAGACCCCAAGAAGTCAGAGAGCTCCTTGCTGGATTTCTTTAAAAGTGAGTCCACTTTAATTGCTTCATTATCATTGGGCCATTTTATTAGGATAATTATGACTATTTTACTTACTAGAAAGTAGTTAAATGAAGCAATTAAAACAATACATGCAGTCCTGTACCAGTTTTTCAAGGTAAACGTGTGCCGTCTCTTGAGTCATGCAGCTCGCTCAGGTTGTTACTGTAACAGGATCTGACTAGTCTTTATGAATATGCTGGCCTCAAGGCTATGATTTGTAAGCAGCTGGTTAATGCGTCTCTTAATTCATACGTATACAAACTTCCTGTCTGTTGTTCACTAGGCTTATAATTTTTGAGTGCATTTAAGTTTATATGTACAGTACTAAAATGAGCCAAAACATTATGACCACCTGCCTTATATGCTGTGCTGCCCAAACAGCACCAACCTACATGTACTCTTCAAGACCACTGTAGGTTTCCTGTAGAATCAGGCACAGGAATGGGGCAAGCAAAGCAGGCAATTGCTAATGGACCCTTTTTTAGAAGCGAGCCTCCAGTTTTCTACTGATAGGGAAACTGCTTTCCCAGGGAATGTGATTTCAACCAAGGGGGGAACAATTTATTCTGATTGGGGATATGCTGAAATGTGATTTCTACTGAGGGACTTCCTGCACGACATGTGACTGGGGCCTCAGATTTCCTAGCGTTCACCACTGGGGTATCTGACATCGAGGTGTTGGCAGTCAAGTCCTGTGGGTTGCGAAGTGGAGCTTAATTTAGAAAATATATAATTCACAGTCACTTACTCACGTCTTCATCATTTTACAAAACAATTTAATCCATTAACCCACTTTTCAAGTCGCTATTTATAATTATCACTAACTATAGAAATCATTAAAGTTTCATTTAAACAATAAAAGTTTATTATAGGAAAACAGAGAGATCTTATTGCTCATTCATGCCAGGAATACATGTGTTGACTGGAATACATTATATTAACATATACACTCACTGGCTACTTTATTAGGTACACCTTACTGGTACTGGGTAGGACCCCCTTTTGCCTTCAGAACTATGCTTCGTAGCATAAATTCAACAAGGTACTGGAAATATTCCTTAAAGATTTTGGTCCATATTGACATGATAGCATCAGACAGTTGTTGCAGACTTGTCATTAATCAGCAGTTTCTAAAATACTCAGACCAGCCCGTCATGCACCAACAATCATGTCACATTCAAAGTCACTTAAATCACCTTTCCTCCCCATTCTGATGCTCGATTTAAACTGCAGCAGATCGTCTTGACGTTGTCTAGATGCCTAAATGCATTCAGTTGCTGCCATGTGATTGGCTGATTAGAAATTTGCGTTTACAAGCAATTGGACTGGTGTACCTAATAAAGTGGCCGGTGAGTGTAGATCACATTAAGGCCAATTAATGATTACAGCACGACAGCATAGTCAAACACCAACGAAAATGTTGGCCATTGAATTTATAATCTTGTGAAAAAATGTTTGCACAATCCCCAACAATTCCCACACACAAATTACAGTAAATCCTTCTCAGGGCTAAAAAGACATTTACATCAAGCCTATCTGGTCCCTAGTCAAGATTAAGTCCAAGCTTGTTGTCAGAAAACAACTAGGGAACACCACTAAAGGGAGATATCATGTCTGGAACAACGTTTATGACGGAAGCATAATTTTACATCCGCTATAATGGCTGGACCCAGGGTTCCTCAACAGAACAATCCCCAGAAAACACTTCCTCCACTGAACTGTTTGTCCTGGTGCTGTAATT